TAGCCAGGTTTTTAGGACCTTATGAAAGGCTAGCAGGATTGGGGTCGTTCTGATCTCCAAAGGGAGGATGTTCCATAGAGCAGAAATCACTGCAGAAAAAGCTTGTCTTCTGGTCTCCATTAGCAGGCAGGTTCTACAGCATGCTTATTATGCTTCACCTAGTTGGATGGGTAGAGAGACTCTTGGAAAAAAGCTGAGCCTTCACATACCCCAGGCTCAAGCCAGGACTTTAAGGAAACCAGTAACTTAAATTGTACCCAGAAATATACTGCTAACCAATGTAGCTCATGCAGAAGTGGTGTTACATGTTCTGTATATGTGGCACCATTTATTACGCATGCAGCCACATTCTGAATTAGCTGAAATTTCCAAATACTCTTCAGGGGCAGCCCCATGTGGAATACATTACAGAGGTCTAGCCTAGAGGTTACAAGAACATGAGTTACTGTAAGCAGAGCACAGAATAGATACTATAGATTTGTGTTACTGTATATACCAAGTCTTACCTGAATTCTCCTGTTTTGGGGAACATCTGTTTGAAAAAGTATCTTAACAGGTAAGTCTGGGTTTACCAATCAGGTGCGGTACTCACAGTGATGGTCATTCCAAAATAGACAGTGTCTTTCCAAAGCAGCCACAACTCCAAACTGTCCTCCACCGAAAAGATGAGAACCCCCATTTAAAGTGTAATGATGTGCAAACTGTAGTCATTGAACAAACCATAAGTTGCTTTAAGGCAATCAAGCACAGAATGGTATCATTGTTTGTTGCTCAATTACAATGGTATGCGAGCACAGTAAATGATTTGTTTGTAGCTTCCTGACTTCTTTCTAGCTACTGTTGCTTTTTATATAACTCATTTTAACAAGAGCAGCTGTGGGGCAGTTAAAAAAAAGTTAAAATGAGTAATCAAAATCCTGCTTCTTTTATGCACATTGCAAATGTGGCACTTGTAAGAAGTGGGTGATGCATGGTCACCATTTTGAGTTTTCTAATTACTCCTCTGAACACCTGTGTACACTAATCAATTTACAAAAGCATATGTAGCAGAGCAGGCAGAGCTGAAGGGCGGAGTTAATTGCGCTATAAGTTTGGAGTCATTGTGTTGCCACAAGAGACCATATCCCGCTCCCTATGAATTCCATTGATCTTTATCTTGTGTCAGTTTAGAATTGACTTTTAATTGACTAGATTCTTTTTTTTTTAAACAAATTTTATTAATTTCAAAGACAAACAAATCATCATCAACCATTACATATTTGAACCTTTTTCCATTATAAATTTTACAAGTCAGATAAAACCTTATTTTATACAATACAATTCTATTTTAAGCCATTTCCATATGAGCATAAAAATACCTCTTATCCAATTTCTCTTTACTTCTCTTTACTCTTATTCAATTTCACTATTATTATTTCATCTATTTCTTTCTGACGATTACCATTATTCTCATTCTGTATTTCTACAAGGTTTTATTAATACTCTCAAAAACATACAAACAAACATATAAAAAATCTTTTAGGAAAGTAACTTGGCCCCAGATACCTCTCTTTATATGGGCTTCAATTATATTCATGCTCATCTTACATATCATTACCTATTTTGTTTACCATTCTATATCTTCTATATAAACTTCTCCACACATTTCACTCTTCATAATTCTATTTTATTTAATCCATCTTAATTTAAATCATTATATTTGTATCTTTTGCCCATTCTTTATTATCCCTCTATCTCATTCCTTATAATGAAAAAAAAAAAAGAATTTCTCCTGAAATCACTAATCAGAGTATGATGCCTTTCTATCCTCCCCCTAAATTAATTAGATTAACATTTAAAATAACACCTAATACCCAATCTGATTCTGCTTGGTACATTCTATCTACTAATTTTTTTCTTTTAATAACAATAAAAACAGAGTAATAAATCCAAAATGATTAAATACATAGTTAAATAATAAATCTAAATATTAAATCTTATAACATTCCCATTGCCTTTCCCTTTAATATTTTATTACATTTTAAAATCAATCATTATTAAACATTTCAACATTTTAATTTCTTATTAACTCTTAAGCCATTCTAATTTTCTATTTCTAATACAGATGTTACAATACCATCTTATGTACCTTGCAAAATCTTTATTAAGGAAATTGTACTTTACCCTTTGTCCCTAAAAAAAATTCCTCTTTTCCCATCTAATTTCAAAACTTTGTGGCTTTTCTCCGCCTTTCCCCTTTCTTTCTTCCCCCACCAAATCTTCCTACCCCACCTTCTTCTAGCCTCTGCCTTGCTGGCATCCCTTCTCTGTTGTGTTCCCTTTTTCTTTTGTTTACTATCATTATATTTATTTTGCATCTTATTTTTCTCTTTCTTAAATGTTTTTTTAGATCTTAAGTCCTTCATTTTCCTCGCTTTCTTCCTTCCTTCTTTCTTAGTTAAATTTTGGAATTCATTAAAGATGGCGTCTTCGTCTTCTTGTTGTTGTTCTTCTGCCTCCATCTGTTGTATTGTTTGTTGATAGTTAACCAGCGCCATTTCTAAAAATAGGAAGGCTTTTTCCATACCATCTTTACCGGCTGCTTTTGTTTGCTCATATTCTTCCCTCAGTTCCTCAAAAGAAAAAGCCATTATAGATCTTTTCTTTTCTTTTTTCCCTCTTTCTTCTTACACCAACCAAGATATTTTAAAAAAAAAGTAAAACAATCCCAAAATCCACAATCCTCAATCAATCCAAGCCAAGACAAAATTCTCCCTTTCTCTTCCAGGGGTAGTATCAGACAAAAGAAAAAAGAAAGTCCAAATCTGTATTTTGAAGCCTTATTGGAGTTATATTTCTGTCTTCAAATCCTTAAGGCATCTCCTCCAACAAAATCAAACCAGATGAATATATTTTTTGTCCTCTCCCTTCCGACTTATCCCATAAAGCTAGTTTTACCTGAAAAAAACAGGTTTCTCAATATCCACTTATTAATTCCGTCGGGAGGGAGAATAAACTTTCCTTTCAGCACCTCAAAATTGCCGCTTATTTTCTCTTGTGGAAAGAATCATCCAAAAAGCCATCATTTCCAGGAATTATATTAAATGTATCTTAGAGTCCTGGATCAACCAAGAAAACTTTCACTCTCAAAAGCTTTCTCCTCTTCCTCCTGCGCATACTTGCCCAGCTGCCGGCTTCTTTGTGGCGGCCATTGCGGACCACCGCTGCACCGTCTTGGGAAAAGGGGGTTCTGCCGGCCGGGGAGGGGGTCTGCAACACCCCCAAACCCCTCTCCGGATCCCCCCTATCTTCAGCTACCCCTGCAGGGTAGCCTAGCTCCGGACCCGTCCGGATCGAAGCACCAAAAGCGGCTAGCGCGGCAGGGATCGCTCAGTCGCAAATCCCTGCCGCTCGCGAAGCCGACAAACCGGAAGTCCTTAATTGACTAGATTCTTGTGTATAAGTCACAGTAATAAATTATTTGGTGCTTTAAATGCAATGAATGCTGGTTATTTGCGCCTGACAGCATATTAACAAATAAACTAAAAATTGGCCTAAACAAGCCATGAAGGCGTGCTTATTTTCTTACCTGTAAAAGCCAATAGAATGTTTAACCTTGATTTGTTAAATGAGCCACTGTCGTTAGCCTCACACAGTCCATTAAGTCATAAACCCCTAATTTACTCACTGGCAAAGCTGTGCAAGGCTTTGAAGGAGTGATGCAATTTCATAGTGATTTGACTGAATCACCCATATTAAGTAGTTCCATGAAGCAATGTGTCATCCTCATGGGTGAGGAAGTGGAGCAGGGATTGTAGTTTGTGCTTGGGAAAAGCCGCTGCAGCCGGGCAGAAATGCTTCCCACCCTACTTTCCTTGTGCATTCATTCATTCACTCAATACTTTACTCACAACCTTACTCACAAACAGTATTCAGCTACCTGACTATTCGAGCCACACCCTGGCATTTTCAAGGATGTGCTGATGTTCAGAGGCAGCCTCACCCCACCCAGGCCCTTAGCTTACAAAAACAAAGATTAAGACAGAGTGTGGGTAGGTGTGTAGAAAAAAGGGAGATCAGAAAATGGCAAGCAAACTGGGAAGTGGAAGCAATGTCTGGAGATTGGCAGCTATTACATGGAGGCAAGATGATTGCCAGGAGCACACTCTATGGTGGGTAGCATATCCTGGTAGGAGTCTTGCCTGGAGCTTGGCAATAACTAGAGTCATTTTGTTCTGTAGCCTGTTGTTGGAGAAGGTGTACCCTGTAAAGCATTGAATACATATCTGCTATGTTATTGTGTGTCCAGTCCTTGGGGAAAAAAACAAAATAAAACATGAAGCAAAATTGCACGTCCATTTGCTTTTCATGGCCTCACAGCTCAAGCCAGCACTTAGTAACCAGAAAAGCTTTTATACTTTATTCTGGGCATGGATAAAAGCCTCTTCTAACACTTTCAGTCAGCTACTGGAAGTACTAAAAGAGATTTGGTGCAGGTGCAGTTCTTAACGCAGAACACTTCTATGGTATTGTCTGTTTCAGGCTGAGGCTGTGAGGTATCTTAAGGGCCATCAATCTGGTTTATGAACAAAATGGGTGCATCAGTGTGATTATTTTTACCATCCTGATTATTTTTACCTTGATGTCCTAATCGTGTTTTCACTCCTGTACAAAGTTCCTGCTCCATACCCAGCTGGAACAAACAAATATTTTGCTTTGGTAGGCAATGATTTACCCGAATGATTTGCATGAATCAAATTGTGGGCAAATAAGTAGCAAGGTGAGAAAAAGTTTTGTGAATTTTGGTCTAGATGTATTCACAGGGTTTCCTGATTAAATCATCTTGAATCTAACAAAAGAAAGTGGAGGTAGAAAACATGAGGGAGATTTACAGAACATTGAAAGTCACAGTTCTTGGGTTCATTTTAGGCTTCCCATAAATACTGTTGGTCAGATATATGGAGGGCAAAGGGTAACTTTTAAGTTCACAAACAAGTTTTCACACTTTTTTTTCATTCCAGGTACTACAGCAACATCCAAAGTAATGTAAGTATATATTTTAATACATTTTTTTTCTATTTTGTGTTATGTTTTCCAAGTATTACAGAATACATAACAAGGTCAAGATAGCTTCTAAGTAGTTTGAGCAGATTGTCAATTGGATCACATTAAGTGCTACTTTGTTTAGCCACAGTTTATTGAGCAAAAAAGGCTGTTCGGCAGTGCACCCTTAAGGCACAAAGCCAGTTGGGTGACGTTGGCCAGTCACACTCCTATGAGGGAGGCAATGGTAAACTACTTCTGAAAAAAAACTTGTCAAGAAAACTGCAAGGGCAAGTTCAGGTAATCACCAGAATCAGAAACTGATTTGAAGGCACTAAAAACAAACTATAATTACCATGTTTGTAAAACTTAGTATGCCAAATGGCACAGCACATTACAAAACCATGTTGCATGGCTTAGCATGTTAGCATGTATATACCAGTACTACTACAAACTCCTCCTAACTTGAAATGGGGGTTGCTTATTGATAGTTTAGACCAGGAGTGTCCAACCTTAGCAACTTTAAGATCTGTAGTCCACAAGTCTTAATATCTGCCAAGGTTGGACACCCCTGACATAAGATGTTTTAGGAATCTAGTCTTTATTTGTTCATGCCAACCATAATGTGATTTTTTGTTTTTGTCTTAGTGTGATCTATGAACCCAGGTTTTGTGTTATATAAGTCATCGTTTAATATGTTGTGTTAACCCAATCAGTTGTGGCTTATTTAGCAAACCAGTCTCATAATGAACAAATAATAATAACTGCACACTTTCTCTTAAGATTGTCTTATTGGTAGAACAGGTATTACAATAATTGGATGATGATGAAGCAATGGGTTTTGTTTAGTTGGGGACAATTAGTCAGAAATGAAATTACAAAGCTTGTGAATCCAATTATAATAGTAGTCATAAGTGCCTTAGAAATATCATTTTCAGAATATCTATGTGAAGCCAAGGGAAAATGCAAAGTGCTCAAGTATCATATCTAAGAATTTATGACCATTTTGTAGCCAGAAGCTAATCAGAGCTGCTCAGCCAATGACAATTCAATAGGTAAGGATTTCTCAAGAAAAAATGTAGTGAAGGAGATGTCACTGAGGAATCCGTTGTTGTTGTTGTTGTTGTTGTTGTTGTTGTTAAAGACTTATGTATCTGAGCTTATAGAGTGGAAGGGTAACTTTCTCCTCTTGAAACTTTCTGAGCTTTTGCACTCTGGCCGCAGATAATATCTTGGTGTAACTAGTTGGTAGGTACTGCTATCCCCTATCTATCCTTGACAGGGTGCATCACCTGATATCCTCCCCTTAACCCTGGTTTAAGAATGAGAGAGTGCTCCCATAACTTGAATTGCTGTGTTTATTGAAAATATAAACATGGAAAAATGAAATACTTTACATGCTATAAATTCTTAGATGTATGGTTTAGAATCAGGTAACTAGCAGTCCAGCCCTTCTCCTCCTCCTTGAGAGACAGAATAATCTCAGCAGAAATAAACAAAATCAATCTTTATTTGGAATGGAGGAAAGATAAAATTTGAAAACTGTTTGCTGCCCAGAGCTCCATGGATTAGGGTTCCATGGATTAAGGTATTTATTTTTCTAATAAAATAAATATACTGTATAAAGAAATAATTTTTAAACTTTGCATATTAAAATCAAAAAAGTATTGGTTACAATTATATATTAAAAAACCCACAGACTTTTGGGACATTTTAAAAGAGAATTGTGAAAATAAACACAATTCAGTATTTCAGTAGACCACAAGATGGCACTGGTCTGTTATGATATTGGACATAGCTTGAGGTGGAAGTCAAAACAGAGGAGCTTAAGGATTCCTGTAGATTGGGCAGAGATAATTGGTCAGAAAATAAAAAATAAAAACAAACTTAATATACAGTAGGTCTTATCTAATATATAATATAGGACCCTTAAAATAAATACCATCCCTGTTCAAATTGTTTCTTGGAAACTCCATTTTAATCAGAGGCTGGAAATAATTCAGCTTTTTGTCCTTTTTTCTCAGCACACACCTGCTTGCTCCCTTCCACAAAAGTTCCATCTTTTTTAAGTAAAAAAAAACTATCATAAATCTCATAAATCCAGGAAAAAAGTTAGAAATTAGGCCACTTTCTCTCTGTACCTATATGATACAACTCAGCTTTCCTTGGTGAATGTTAATTGAAATTCTGATGCCAATTGGCTGTTGGCTGGCTGTCAGTGAATATGGGGTAGGATTTGCGACTTGTTATTTATTACAAGTTAAAATTCCTTGCCCTCTTAAATAAACGTTGACAACCTCATAAATCAAATAAACTGACATTATAAGGTTTTAAATTTGGGATGCAAAAATCCAGATGACCACTAAAATGATGCCAAGAAATACAGAAAACTCTGTATTTTAAGATATATTATTCTACTAATTTGCTAAGTGCTTTGAATCAGACTGTTTATAAAAAGAACTTTTTTCATGGTTTCTTTAAATATAGTGTTTATTCAATATATGTTGTAGTCAAGGTGCCGTATGATTACTATCATGTTTTTGCAAAGTAATTTCTTCCATGATTTTTTGTTTTGCAAATTCTTATTGTTTCCTAGTTTTAGTTTATTTCTTTTTACCAGGCAGAGTAAAAAGAAATTGGCATCCCCAATTTCTTTGCAGCATTAATTTTGTCTAAAATGGTCACATGCGATGCATTTAAGTGATATGAAATGTTTTATTTTCTTTGTTTTTTCTTTTCTTTAATCATTCCATAGTACCACAGTAGAAACATTTTTGCTGTTTTCTCCAAAATAAACAAGCTTTATCCTAACTGTGAAATTTCACACTTTGCTTCATTATTGTTACTATTGGTTGCATTTACTTTCTGCTATTTTGTGCTTGGGAGGCTGCAGTTTAGAACAGTACTGTTAGAGCAGTGTTTTTCAAACTTGGCCATTCTAAAATGTGTGGATATCAACTTCCAGAATTCCCCAGGCAACATGGAGAATTCTGGGAGTGGAAGTCCAGACATCTTGCTGAGGTTGCAAAACACTGTTAGACGAATATCACTGTTAGACATATTTTAAAATTTCTAATATAAATTTACACATTCCAACTGTCTCTCTTTATTGTGGAATTTCCCATCTTCTTGCTCTTGATAAAAGGAGATGCTCATTCCAACTCTTTTTATTGACTTTCTGTGAGTATTCTGTCTTATGATTCACTTGCTGAATATAAAGACAGATAGAATAACTCTACAAATTATTCCATACAAAGTTTCTTTTATTGGATTATATTAGGCATCCTCAAGGTGACTCACAGTTATGTCAAGATGCATCTAATGTCCAATTCTTTGCATAGTTGAAATCGTAGTGTAAATTATATTAATCTTTCTATCCCATAGTCGTAGAGGCAGGGGGTAGAGCTGCTACCACGAGGCTGTGTTCAGGCAAGAGAGAGGGAACCTCCCCTAACCCAACAAGAGTCAATTTAGTGACCAATCAGGATTACAGATGTGACCACATGACATGGACTACATTTCCCAGGATACCTTAACTACGTTTACCATGATGCATTCCCTTAAGGGGACAGCTCACAATTCCTAACTAACTAGCCCAAATCCCATTAACTCTAAACTGTCTGGACAGCACAGTGAGGTAAATCAAGGAAGCTGCCTTGGTTGCGAATTGGCACAGAGCAGTGCTAAGACTCCAGAGTGTAGAAAATTGTACTATCTCATGATCTCCATGCTCTAGATGTAGAAATAGTAAAATGCTATGTAGTGGAAGAAAGAAACGAGACAATAGACAGAAGAGAAGATGAAGACATTGTAGGAAGCAATAGGAGTTAGTGAGATAGACTAGAGAAGGCCCTTTTAGATAACGTCTCTGCTATTTTATTGGAGCCTGGACTGATTAACACTGAATTCTCAAGAAGCTTCCCATTTACTGTTGCTTTCCTGAACCTACTTGATACGAGTAGATGTTCAGCTGCTTCTTGACAGAGGAGGAAATAGTAGGTAGAACTGGTGGGCCTTAAGATACTGCACCCCACCGGTCTTGAGTTTGACACCCCTGCTCTGCAGGATCTAGATCTCTGTTTCAAATGGCAGTGTTCATGTGTACTTTCCTGAAGAGAAGTGTAGATATAGGAGAGTTGGGACCTGGTCCAAGTTGGACTTTTAAACACTACTTTCAAACTATTCAAATGTATTAACTTTTAAATTCAAAACTTAAATTGTAAAATATTTTAATCTTATAATGCTTTTTAATTTGCAACGCTCTAACTTTAAATGGCTATCATAAAATGTTGAGATGACTTTTGGTATCAGATGCACGATATATCTTTATTTTACAGTATTGTTTACAGTATACAAATGGATTAAATAAAATAAGCACTCTTCCTTGTTTCTTTCTGTTAATTGCAGAGCAGATGAATCGGTGTCAGAAGATGACAAAAGGAGGTGTGTTGACAAGGAACTGGACTGAAATTGCATGGATCAAAAGTAGGCTGCTATGTCATAAGAACGAAGTCAAGAAAATTATTCAAAATGTGTTTTATAAACCCCAATCCAACAGCTTCATATTTGTTTGTCCAATAGGAGCTCAGATTTTAACTAAGAAAACCTGTCACTTTATCGTCTTGTAGTCTGTCCCTGGGAAATAGCTTCATTATAGCTTCATAATGATATTAAGTTTATTACAGGAATGCTCCACGCATGGTGTCTGTGTGCCCAGATTATCAAAGTCAGTGGCATTGCGGATATTGGCATCCAAATATAGTTAAATGCTTGTTTCAAATATTTAGGCTGATTCAGATAATAAGGTACCAGATCTGGATTGAAAAAATATAGGTGACCACTGTTTTGTTGAATTTTTGCAATGTAGCTCTAGTAACCCTGTCACAAAAGTGTGATCATTTTCATCAAAGTAATATCGGGTTTAAAATTTATATTATGTGGTTCAGCCAGATATCCGTGTCATTTTATATAAGGAATAAAACAACATGGACTGATATAAAGAACAAAATATTGAAAGGTATGCAAGGTTATTCAATTAAATTTACTGAGACAGAAAGTATTACATACAGGTAGTCTTATGCTGACATATTACAGCATAGAGATTGTAATCACCACAGATTAAGAAATCTGCTTTTTTAATGAAGTATTTTAATTTTTCTTGTAAACCAATAAACATAATGCAGGCAGCCTTTGACTTATGACTGGTTTAACTATATTTGGATGCCAATATCCGAAATGCTACTGATTTCTCATATGAATGTATTACAAAGAAACATACTTTGCTGCAATGGATCAACCAATTTATGACATGGATTCAAAGTTCTGACAGCTGTTATCGCCCTGCAATCACATGATCAGACTAGGTACTTGACAATGGGCTGCATTTATGCCACTTGTAGCATCCCATGGTTATGTGATTGCATTTTACAACTTTAGTTCACTATTTTCTCCCCAAAAGTCCTCTTCTGGATGGATCAGAGATAAGATGCAGAAGTCTTCAACAATTTTGTATTGTGAACATGGCAGGAAAATGTTAGGAGAGATAAATTGCAACAATTAATAAAATTGTTGCAAAGACTTTGGCGGGGGGAGGGGAGTCACAATGCCCCTCCATTTTGTTTCTATGCAACTGACTTCAAGCTGGGTGCATTAGTATGTTTCTTTGTAATACATTCATATGAGAAGTTATGTAAATCTGAACATATGAATGCATAAATGTGGTTTATTACCCATATATATATATGTGTCTATGTGTGGCTGAGAGTAAATGTGTGGAGTTATCCCATTCATTTTAGCCTGTTCACTTTTTGTGGGGAAAATGCAAAAATGCTCTAAAATGGAGTCTCCCAAATACTAGCCTCATAGTTGCTGTAGATTGCATTATGTATGTGACGTACTTTGACTAATTAGAAATCTTAACCAGACACACACCTGGTGCCTCTTGCTTAAATATCCCTCACAATAAGTATATCCCAAGTGCCCCTCCAAAGGTTACCATTGGGTTATAATTTTTAATGTATCCGTAATACTTAAAGAGTAGGATGAGTAATGGGCAGAATAATTTTATCCTGTCCAAATTCCACTTTTGAGAAAGCAGTTATACTAAATAATGTAACACATGGTCCAAGAAAGATTAAACATTTTGCCATGCGTAAGGTTATACTTTTACTGTGGCACCCAGTCATGACTTTCTTGTCTTTTTCATTAAGAGATTATGGAGGTGTTTATGTTGGCTTACCAGCTGCAGAAGCCAAGATTTCCAGCCAGACAAAAACAGCATCTAAAGGTATTTTTTTAACCATTGTTTTTCAGTACTTCCAGTTTCTAACATTTATCATTATACTTAGGAGAGACACTTTATCATTTGAAACTTTAAAATGTTTTCAGTTTAAATGGCAGCCACTCCATGAAGTTTAGGCAGAGCAAGATAGCCATAGCCATAGCACTTAGACTTACATGCGACTTTATAGTGCTCTACAACCCTCTCTAAGTGGTTTACAGCAGTGGTCCCCAACCTTTTTTGTACCAGGGACCAGTTTCAAGCAGAAACACTTTTTCAAGGACCGGGGGGGGGGGGGAGGTCAGTTTCTATTTTCCATTCCCAAAACTTTATGTTTACCCTACAACTAGCATTAAAGACACCTGACTGCAGTCTCTCTAGTTCTAGGTCTTGCCCAGCTGTGTAGCTACAAAATTTCATGCAAAACAGGAATTGAATGAGGAGCATTTAGTCAGTGTGTTTTCCCTAGGAAGCTCCTGTAGTCCTTGTTTAGGGATCATTCAGAGCTACGATGGACCTCTAACATCCAGCCCAGGAAGAAACTGCTTCAAAGAAGCCGGGATGTGTGTGTGGCTTTTCCTGTCGCCGCGCCTCCTCCGAAGCGCCCGTTCACCCCCACCCCGCCTGCCCACGCACGGTTCAATCCAGTGCTCCGTTCTGCCTGCCTGCCTGCCTGCCTTGGTTTCTGGTTGTTTAGGAGCAGCTTCGGCTGAGAATAATAACTATTCACCTCTTTTTATCAGCCGAAGCTTCTCTGAATCAACCAGAAACGAAGGCAGGCAGGCAGGCAGGCAGAACGGAGCACTGGATTGAACCGCG